TCGCTACTCTTGATTCAGCCCCGTTTGAGCTCTGAAGTTTTATCTGCTACAATTGGCTTTGAGAGGCGTAGGTAGTTGCGGAAGTGGATTGTCCAGCTTCCACTTTTTTTTCGAGACTTCCACTTCTTCTTTTCGTTTTCTTTCCTCTTAATTGTATTTTTTAAAGTTCCTCTTAATTATATTAACAACTTTAATTTAAATATAAATTTAATTTTTGAGATGAAAATTTGGTTAAATATAATTTTCTCTCTTTCATTAATAATATTGTAGTTTATTTTAATTAGCTTACAAATGTTGAATGTCTACTAACAGTTTGAAAAAATTACAGTGTGAAGGTTCATTTCTCTTTCAATGAAATACTAGTATCTCATTGTTTGTTTCACTTGATTATAATATTAGATGAGTATACCCAAATTGATATATGAGCATACTAGAGATTTTAAGTTAGTTTTTAAATTTTTCGATGCTCATTTCATAACTTATCTATACTCATTTGATATTGGTCTAAAAATAAACATTAATGTACTTTTAGTGAGCATCTGACATATTTTATTGAGTATTAGGAGGCTAACAATGAGTATCACGATCTCTACTTCATATCTTCTAATTCTTTTCTTTTTCTTATTTTTCTTCTATAATTTTTTTTAAATTATATCTATAATACACTCCTATGAACTTCAATATGGGAATTTAATTTAATATGATACTTTTTAAATATGTATTGAAATGACATTTTAAAATGAGCACAATATCATTACCAAATGAGCATACGTAACTCACAAAATGTTCATTGATATGAAAATCGTAAGGTTTGTTAGTTTGATATAAAGACATTTTCATTGAGCATCAAATCTTCTCTATTGAGAAGAAAATCATGATTTCTGTAAAATGAGCATTAAGGAACTTTTAAGGTGCATCAGACCTATTATGAGCATTAAAATAATTTTGTTGAGCATCTAACTTATTCTGTTGGGTATTAGGAACCTTACAATGAGCATTGTAATATCTGCTTCATATCTTTTAATTCACTTTTTTTTTACAAAAACTTATTAAATAATATCTATGATGATCAAGTTCTATGAACTTTGATCAATACACGAATCTAATGTCATATGCAACTTTAAAATTTGCATGGATATGACAATTTAAAAATGAGCATAATATGAGTATAAATTGAGCATACGTAATTTACAAAATGAGTATTGATATGAAACTCATAAGTTTTTTTATTGAACTTCAAGACATTTTTATTGAACATCAAACCTCCTGTATTGAGTATTGAAATAATTTCATATTTCAAAGTTTTTTTATTGAACTTCAAGACCTATTAAATTAATTTCATTTTATGTTATGTGCTTCTATATCTATAATGAACTCCTGCATGAATCTGATTTAATTAATATGATACCTTTGAAATATGAAATTATTTGAGATTTTAAAATGAACATAATGTCAGTACCAAATGAGCATACATCACTTACAAAATGAGTATCGAAAGAAAGTATTTTAAATCGCTAATGTGCTCAAATCCTCATTTGTCTATGCTCATTTCTTTTAAACGTTATGCTCATTTGGTATGTGAGAGCATGCGACAAGGGTTATTGGATTGATTTGTCAAGTCAATCTCAGCGGAATCTAGTCTATACAGAGCATTAACGTTGTCATATAGAATCTCTACAGCACAAAGATGGAGGAACCGTAACAAATCAGAGACGCCTAAATTCTGATGGACCGGGGCACGGGCTATTGGGCAATCCAGGCTAAACTCGAACGAAGTATTTCAATCTATTGTGAAAGGAATGAAAAAGGAAAAGTGTTGGATAAAGAAAAGTAGAAAATGATCATTATTGCTCTGTGAAATCAAGATGGGAAATCAAGGATTGAAGCAGCAACGATTCTATCTCTTTCCAGTTTTGTATGCTTCAAAAAACCAATCTTTCGTCAGCAGATAAGTTCTTCTCCGGCGGTATCCTGCTCCCCCTCTACTGCCCTGCTTCTAGAGACACAAATACGAGCTTCATCAGACCTTCAATGGAAAATTCTGTTTGTCGGCAACCAATCTTTCCTCAGAAGATCACTTCTTCTCCGGCGGCGTCCTGCTCCCCCTCTACTGCCCTGCATCCGGAGACACAAATCCAAGCTTCACCGGACCTTCAATGGAAAACTCTATTTGTCGGCTGATGTCACAACGGATAAGGTTGGTGCAACATATGTATGGAGCAAGAGAAGAAGTCTTAAAGTTGCGTGGTATTACAAAATAACCGGGTGTACGCGTACACCCGGGTGTACCATATAATTTGCGATAATATGTTTGAAAAAAAAGTGTGATTAAGATTTAAATACAAATATGTGCACTACCAACAATCACATATTTCTTGCTTAAAATGAAACATTATTTTAAGATGAACCAAGAATGAGAATATGAGCCAAGAATGAAATATTAATAATAATAATAATAATAATAATAATAATAATAATAATAATAATAATAATAATAATAATAATAATAATAATAATAATAATAATAATAATAATAATAATAATAATAATAATAATAATAATAATAATAATAATAATAATAATAATAATAATAATAATAATAATAATAATAATAATAATAATAATAATAATAATAATAATAATAATAATAATAATAATAATAATAATAATAATAATAATAATAATAATAATAATAATAATAATAATAATAATAATAATAATAATAATAATAATAATAATAATAATAATAATAATAATAATAATAATAATAATAATAATAATAATAATAATAATAATAATAATAATAATAATAATAATAATAATAATAATAATAATAATAATAATAATAATAATAATAATAATAATAATAATAATAATAATAATAATAATAATAATAATAATAATAATAATAATAATAATAATAATAATAATAATAATAATAATAATAATAATAATAATAATAATAATAATAATAATAATAATAATAATAATAATAATAATAATAATAATAATAATAATAATAATAATAATAATAATAATAATAATAATAATAATAATAATAATAATAATAATAATAATAATAATAATAATAATAATAATAATAATAATAATAATAATAATAATAATAATAATAATAATAATAATAATAATAATAATAATAATAATAATAATAATAATAATAATAATAATAATAATAATAATAATAATAATAATAATAATAATAATAATAATAATAATAATAATAATAATAATAATAATAATAATAATAATAATAATAATAATAATAATAATAATAATAATAATAATAATAATAATAATAATAATAATAAGATTATAGGCAGACCTTTACCAAGTTCCGAAACCAAACCAAATTAGGACAGCTGTTAAAGAAACTTATAGCCCATTATTTGGTCGTAAATTACACCGTACGGCCGGTTGGATGGTGCTCACCGTACGCCCAGCTGGACGGTGCTCACCGTACGGCCGGCTGGACGGTGCTCACCGTACAGCCGGTTTTTTTTTGTAATTAAACCTCCTGCGATTCAGCCCCACAACTGACCGACGACGAAGGACGGCCTCTGCGAAAGTCTGGTGCAACTCACGAACGTAGATCGCCGATAGCCAAGGTTCCAAGGGAAACTCACGGCTGAGATGTTTGGCCGACGCAGAGACGACTCTACCTCTGCGAGCGATTCCTATTCTTGGCAGCCTATTTTCCTCGCTTTGCTAATTTATGACCTAGCTGCCACAATTTTTTTTATATAAAATCTATTACGTTTGCCATAATATTATAAAAATGAGTTTTATATTAAAATCAAATGAGTATACGCTTAAAAGAAATGAACATACACAAATCAATATTGAGCATATTGAAAATGAGTTTTATGTTAAACTCAAATGAGTTTAAACCCAAAATGAATGAGTATACCAATTGAGCTTTTGGATTTTTTTATACTCATTTTGTAAGTTATGTATGCTCATTTGATACCTCTTTATGCTAATTTTAAAATGTTGCACATTTCAAACGTATCATACTATATTATGTAAAACTCAAATGAGTTACCGAGTATAAGGTCAAAATGAATGAGCATACACAAATGAGCTTTTGAATTTTTTGATACTCATTTTGTAAGTTATGTATGCTCATTTGGTAAAAATGTTTCACATTTCAAGTTGATGCTCAATGAAAATGTCTTGATGTTCAATTAAATGTACTTATGATTTTCATATCAATTCTCATTTTATAAATTATGTATGCTCAACGGGTATTCATGTTATGCTCATTTGTAAAATGACATAACAATGTATATTTCAAAAGTATTATATTGCATTAAATTCGCATACTGAAGTTCATAAGAGTTTGTTATAGATATAATTTAATAAGTTTTTATAAAGAAAAAATAAGGAAAAGAAAGTAAATTCGAAGAGATGAAGCAAAGATCACAATGTTCGTTGTTATGCTTCTAATGCTCAACAGAATATGTATCATGCTCACTAGACGTGTTTTAATGCTCATTTAGTACAAAACACGAATTTCATGTAAATTACAATGCTTATTTGGTTCCTTACGTACGCTTATACGCTTACAACTGGTTGTACTATATACGCTTTCTTATTTAGTTCCTGTTCTTCCAAACTAGAAGTTATGTTCCCTTTATTCTTATTTACTTACGTAGTATATATTATTCTTGTTTTAATCATATTAAAAAAATCACATATCAGACAAAAAGGTATACACTATTATTGTTCTTTTTCTTATTAATATTAAATTTATTTGCACCCTTGATTATTAGTTGACTAGTTGTTACATGTTCCTATTTTAGATGACATTTGAAAGTAAAATTATGAGAGCAACTAATATTAGCCCCATGTTCACAAGCCCCAAGTGTTTAGATAAGATAGAGATAAATCATGCATAAACACGAGTTAGAGAATCAACCACACTAGTTAGTCACTTGGACAATTTTAGTTGAGTTTTCATAATCGAAATTCAATGTAGTGGGTACTGGGTAGACAGATCAATCCAGCTAACAATAGCACCATGTTATAAATATGGGAATTCCTTGAAACCAGTTTATAATACACTATAACCATTTCAACAAGCAATCTATACCAGTTTATACCAGCAACAGACCTAGCACAATACATTATAAGTACAACCAGTTTACACCTACGAAACCACTTGATAGAGGATCCATGGATTATCTAGAAGACTATAACACCAAAATCCCCAACTAAAAGAGCCAATGCAAGTATGCAACTAATTAATTGGATGGAGAATCTCATTTGCGCCCTCAATATGCTTTTATAGAAAAGATGTTTACTTGTGCAAGAAATTACAATTAGCATATTAATGATTCATAGTAGGGCCATCTATGCTTCCTCAGAATAGCAGCTAATATGAAAAGCCTGGTTTGAATCTACATTCCTATCTTCTGGCAAGGAAGTTTTTGATAAAATCTTAACCGCAGAAGTGTTTGTGAAAGAGCGCTTTACAGGAGGTAGCAACACTGCGGACTGTTTATCCATCAAGAGTAGTCGGCTACATTTGCTGCAGACAGATTTCAAGATTCTCATTGAGGAGAAGTTTAGAATGGTGAGTTTAAGCAACATGATGAGAACTCACCTGCAAACTTTCCTGAACAAAGACTGGTAATTGTATATCCAGAGCTGCCAGGGAATAAACGAAAACAAAATAAAATGGAGGTACAGAGAGGTATCAAACTCACAAGCTCTGAATTGTGATAGGCTAAAAAATAGTGCATATATTCAAATAAAAAGTAGTCAAAGAAGAAAGTATACCAATAGTGAACATAAAGCTGTTTCTTCATTCACCCCTGTGAAATGCTGCAAAGCGACACCAGCATGCTCCTACAATGGACCAACCAGTGAGTGAGTCGTGGTATAACATTCAATACCAATCCTTAAAAAGATGCACAGTACCGCCAAACACCCTAATAGAATTGTGTACTATATTGGGTATAAACGCTAGTGCAAGTTGATACCGTGATGAGCCTATAAACTTCATGAACTGAAACCCCTCGTGAATGGACATAGCTTCCACCCTACACGTGAAAATTTTTAGTATATCAGAAATGTGCAGCAAACAAAATAATATCAATTACCAGAATTATGAAAGTACTACTTCCACGAGAATTGCATCATAGTGGTGAACCACAGAGAGAATGTTCATTTCAATACCTACCAATAATTTAAATCTTAGTAGTGCTTGACAGCTATAAAGTTCAGTCTACGAATCTGATGCACTCTTTCATTTTTCAATAATATCTTACAAGAACAATGTACTATAATATAAACTCTATTCACATATACCAAATTGCCAACTGCATTTTTTATTTTTATGTTACATAACGTGAAATTCAAGGAATTGCGAAGTTGGAAATCTAATGACCATGACCTAAACCAAGTTCGCCCTAAAGGTTATCATTAACACATTCATGAATAAACCCAATTCCTGCTTCAGTTAACTTATGCTTATTTATAATGCATGGAGGGTGAAAATTGAATGTGATTAAAGGGAATGAGATCCTGGGAATGCAACAAAACATAAACTCATACTCCAGATGCCAAATACAGGTAACATAATGTTCCCTTATGTAACATAGTTTCTAGTGAAAATAACATGAACATAATAATATGCCCTTAAAATCATGAAGCAAAAGAATAACTAGGACACACACATATAGAGTATGCTACTAAGAAAATAGTGTACCTCATCTGGAGAAAAGAAAGCAACAGCATCAGGGTCCACTGAACCAGCTGGATGTACTGACACAATAGCTCGGAGAACAGAGGGAATGAACAACTCGATGACTGTAATCTTTTCTCTAGCAGCATTGTCATTTGATCCTGATCTTAAGTTGTTCCTAATATGAAAGTTGTGATTTTTCAGTGATTCAACAGAACTTTGATGGGCAGGTGACGGCAAAGAGGAAGCCCGCTTCAACCAATCCAAGCGTTGGTAGGTAAAAGCTTTCATGTTTGGAATTGCTTTTTCCAGATGCGTCAGAATATCAGATACTGTTCTTAGGTTACTTATATCATATTGATCACTCGCTGTTGGATAACAGTTTTTCTTTATTGGTGATCCCTCATCGCAACCATTATCCAGGTGAGGAAAAAAGCGCCTTTTCTGATCAGTGAATGCTTTTAGAGCTAACCTACAACATGTTTATAAAGAAAGGTTTTCTTATCCTCATTCTCCAAAAGGGTAAAGTTGCAAATTAAATAGTACTCCCGCTGTCCCAAATTGATGGTCCTATACTTTTTGGACTCAAATATTAAGAAAGAGTGGTAGAAGGACCCGTATAACCTTACTTTATTGTACTGTTCACTCCTTTTCTTTTATTGTTCATTAAAAGGAGGGCTATAAATGGTAATCTAATTTAACTTTTTTACCAAAAAGAGAAACATGACTATCATTTTGGACACCCTAAATAGGAAATACAGGACCATCATTTTGGGACGGAGGTAGTATGAATGATTTCTTAGTAAACATGTATCACAAACGCATCTTACAAATCAGGCGGATGAAGTATTCATTATTCTTTAGATGCCAACATTCGCTGAAAACAAGGAATTCAAAATGCACCTGGTCCGGTCAACCGCGGATGCACCAGCTTGACCAGCAAGTTGACGCTTCCATGCATAAGCCACAACAGCACCATCTGGACAAACAAGTGGCATATGGAGGCCCCACGAATTGCTGCGTGAACGAAGTGCGTCATTCAGAACACCTGAATCTTCCAACTGTCTGCCTGACAAGGTAACACAAATATAAGCGTTGACTTGAAGGTCGATTACTTGACATGTGCAGTTCAATTTGGAGTGAACAGCAAAAGAAGGAAATTTTATGGCGGCAATGTTCTAAAACATTGATATGTAACTATGTAAGAATACTCTCCAGTCAAAGGTCTGCACAAAAAAAGTGCCATGAATGTGGCTGAGGAATTACAGATTCGTCATTTCCAACGCGTACTGAAGAAGACTCATCCTTGAGGGAAAGTGGGAAACCCATGGACTTGAACAGGTTAAAGCCTTACGCAGTTAAGATTGGAGTAATATGATTTTTTATTGATGATGTTGCCCCTATTTATACTACTTAGAAGTCAACACTCACAATAGTCTCACAGAGAAAGTAAATAGTTAAATTCTTATGATAATACGGAGTACAGTATTGTTATAAGGAACTCAACTAAAATACAATATGAATAGGAAACTATTTACTACTACACCAAATCACAAATAATATGAATTATAAAACTAATACTAATATTACAATTTACGAATATAGAATATTATGAACAATCAAGCACTGATTTGGATCCAAGAATCCGTCCACGAGCCTGTACTAAATAAGCCCTTTGTTATGAAGTAACTGCAAGTTGTAACCTTACATAAGCCATTTTTCATGAAGTGATAGTGGTGGCACTGATGTGCAGTGACAAAAAACATTAAATTGTCAGAATCACTGGATGATGCGGAACACTCCATGTAAATGGTTGGTAGAAAACACTTCTTCTTGAATAAATGTAGCACAGTGCAAGTGGTGTGTGTAGTCTAGAGGCATGCTGGCTTACTGATGACAATGGGTCTCATAGGGCGGGGCCTCTGAGATGTGTGGGAAGGGCCCAATCATGGGGTCGTATTAGTTAATGAAAACGGTTACAGGAAGTGAGTGAAACTGCATAACAGAGCTTTCTTAAGCACTCTTCATGGAAGAGATGGTCCAAAACGTGAAATTGACTAATGACTATGTAAGGAAAGAGACAATAGACAAAAACGGCTCAGCCCGACGGATCCGATACCATGTTAAAACTAAGAAATACAGTATTTGTTTTCTTGCTTACCAAAATCTGTTTACAGTAGAAAACGAGCATGCAAAGAAATGTTAGTGATGTTAAACAATGGGAAAAGCAATAAATGTTGGATTGTAACTTATTTCTCCACACTTTTAAAGCTAACATCTTCCAAGTTCCAACATTTCAAAAGAAGCATTGCAATAGCCTTTCGACATTTCAAAAAACACCCAAGCTTCTAAGTTAATAGTTGTTTTTTATATTTCTTTAGTGCCTTTGTTAATTTAGCATTTATAGAGCTAGTATTCAAGCTCTTATGCTCCAAACACTAGTTGTGGCTTATATAGGTGATGAACAGATGTTATATATCCTCATATTAAAGTGTTGCTTAAGTGTAGCAATCAGCTCCACGGAAAAGTAGATAGATCCGCATGTGATAATGAAACTATGAAAGTACAAGAAGCTGCTACGTATTTAAATTTAAGTAGATACATAGTATAAGGATAAAAAAATGAAATTCAATCGAACCAAGAAGAACCAAAGGGTAAATTTCAAAGGTAAAGCTAAGTTACCAATAGCGCGGAGGTCTTGAAAGTGTTGTCGCATTGAAGCTTCTTCATCGAGGATCAAACTCGCGGGTTTGGAGGAGTGCTGAAGCTGAGCGGCCACGAATAGGGCTTCCAGGAGGCGATCAGCGCCGAGTCTGATGTCCGCGATCAGTCGGCCCGCCTTCCCTAGCCGCTCCAGGGCCATGGCAACCTGCTTGGGTGGGGCGTCTGCAGCCGAGCCATTCGACTCCGGCGGAGGCGGCGATACAGACGGAGCCGCAGCAGTCACGGCGGCTTGTTGCATTTTAATTGTTGTGTGAGTGCGGTTGGGAGACGGCTACTTCGATGCTTGCAGTCTAGAAGACTAGAAAACCCAGCTACAAGTATCCCACACCGGTCATATTAAAATACAGGATATCCATTATATACGTTTTTAGTTGGATTCAGTAATGTGTTCGTAGAAAGGAGAGATGGTTGGCATCTCCCCTGACAGGGACGGGACTAGCTTTCGGGCTTTTCTTGTTACCACACATCCGGTTAAGGCTACCCACTTCGGTGGATCTATAACCAAATTTTTTGGAGCTCCATATTTCTTGTCAACAATTTTTTTTATAACCTTTCTACTTGGGGTTTAATTAATTTACATGAAAAATCAAATCATTATTACTTTTAATGATTAGTCTATCATCAATTCGTCATCCCTACTTAATACCTGATCTTTGTTTAAAAAAAAAAGAACGAATATTAATTAAATCCTACTTTTGGTCTCCTTAATAATATTAAGGATGATAGCCACAAGCCGGTTAAGGCTACCCACTTCGGTGGATCTATAACCAAATTTTTTGGAGCTCCATATTTCTTGTCAACAATTTTTTTTATAACCTTTCTACTTGGGGTTTAATTAATTTACATGAAAAATCAAATCATTATTACTTTTAATGATTAGTCTATCATCAATTCGTCATCCCTACTTAATACCTGATCTTTGTTTAAAAAAAAAGAACGAATATTAATTAAATCCTACTTTTGGTCTCCTTAATAATATTAAGGATGATAGCCACAAGCCGGTTAAGGCTACCCACTTCGGTGGATCTATAACCAAATTTTTTGGAGCTCCATATTTCTTGTCAACAATTTTTTTTATAACCTTTCTACTTGGGGTTTAATTAATTTACATGAAAAATCAAATCATTATTACTTTTAATGATTAGTCTATCATCAATTCGTCATCCCTACTTAATACCTGATCTTTGTTTAAAAAAAAAAGAACGAATATTAATTAAATCCTACTTTTGGTCTCCTTAATAATATTAAGGATGATAGCCACAAGCCGGTTAAGGCTACCCACTTCGGTGGATCTATAACCAAATTTTTTGGAGCTCCATATTTCTTGTCAACAATTTTTTTTATAACCTTTCTACTTGGGGTTTAATTAATTTACATGAAAAATCAAATCATTATTACTTTTAATGATTAGTCTATCATCAATTCGTCATCCCTACTTAATACCTGATCTTTGTTTAAAAAAAAAAGAACGAATATTAATTAAATCCTACTTTTGGTCTCCTTAATAATATTAAGGATGATAGCCACAAGCCTACAACATCTTGAACAATTATGGGATGACATTAAGATATGGAAACTACATTTTAATATGTACTTCCTCCGTCCCAATTTGATGGTCTCATTTCTTTTGGACAGACATTTTAATAAAGTGGTTGAAAAGGTAAAAGTTGTAGTTGAGATTTGAGCAAAAAAAAGTGAAATGGTGTGGACCACAACTTTCTTTCCAAAAAGGGAAACATGACCATCATTTTGGAACATCTCAAAAAGGAAATACAGGAGTAACGGGACCATCATTTTGGGACGGAGACAGTAACAAGTACGGAGTAACAATTATGGAAACGCCATAATTCCTTATCTTAACTCAAATAAGGTCTATCACTCTGAAGTTTTTTGGGTTATTGTAATTCCTTCTTTTGTACAGTATGAAATATAATAATGCTATGTAAAAAATCATAATAATAAAAGTTAAAAATTGACGACCCTTTGTCCAATACGTTAGAATGTTAGCTTAGTGTAATGATCTCCATCTTCATTTTTTAGGAAGTTAATCCATCACGATAATGTATCATTTATTAATGAGGCGAAATAAGTTTTTTATTTTAATGAGACAAAAGGACACATATTATTTTTTCTCCAATTAAACACAAGTGTCGAATTAGAGACCATTTGTAGCATGAAAATCGACTGATTTGGTTAATTCTGCTAAAGTTTATGAAGTTCTGGCTAAAGCGGCTACACTGGCTAATTCTATTGATTTAAGAAAAAAATTATAATATTTTTATTAATAAAATAAAGAAAAAATGGTATATAAAAAATAGCTAAAATGATTATCTACAATCATTTCAGTCAATAAAGCCAGAAAAGCAAAAATTATGTGCTTGGTGAAAAATTACATAAATCTGATAATCTGATAAGCAAAAATTTCAGTCAATAAGCCTCTTAGTTCTAGACCGCCTTCATGTGAAAAGGGATAGCTTCATACAAGAAAACCACCAATAGCAAAAAAACAGTGCTCCACTGATGGCATTTCAATTTCTTTTGTTTCATTAAGCATGGGAAAAACACATCTGTGATAAAACGGTACTACGTATATCAATGGAACAGCCCACATTGAGAGTGCTTCCATAGTTCTGAGACACGAGGATAGTTTATGGTGATGTATAAATTTTCACTTCAGCATAACATGGAACAAATGTTCCAGACATCCTTAACATGTGTGCTTTTAGAAAATGAGCTACCATATGTTCAAGCAATAACCGCGACTCAGTTACAAAATTGACACAAGCAGCAACTTCACTGAATCGCTGCCACCCAAAAAAACTAAAGAAATGGAACCCTAAGGAATATATAACAATTGACATCTCCTTGTTTCATGCTACTTTGGACGGGATTGTTTCTTCTCTTCTTTCCATAAACTCCAATCAACTCGGTCCACTCTGCTCATTATTCTTTATAGAAGAAGGCTATATATGTTAAACTACCGAAACAATGTAACATATGTCCTCTAGTCCAAATAATTTTGGGTCTCACCTCTTATCATACAAACCGGGGAAGTAAATTGTGGAGCGAACCCTGAAAAACTGCTCTGCTTGATGTGAAGTCGCTGGGATTTGAGATAAAAAAGAACAGACACGATGACAGTACCACATCTCACACTTCTTTATGCTTAAGAAGATTGAACTGCCAGCCGCTGTAGATGCTCAAAGAATACTTGAAGACTCACATCATCAGTGAGGATGACATCTGTTCCAGCTGCCATATCATGTGCACTATTGTATGTGGCAGATGGATTTAACTTTGCCAACAGAAACCTTGCCTGTTGAGTATGTACATGTTAATTTTCCATTAAGAAACAATCAATGCATGAGTACTTTAAACAGCACTAGAGCCACCAAAGGTCCATGGGTAGATCCACTAAGTCAAGCATGTGTTCATCACGGAACTACAAGTCTACAACCAAAATAGCACTAACAATAATTTCATCTCGAGATATGGCCAAAACTTATAATAACATGATGGCTTAATCAATCTGTTAATAATAATCACCCATAATGAGTAGCAAAGATGAGAGATGGAGGGGTAAATTAGTTAAAAATTGGCAGGCAGCATTTTTCTCTTGTAGTACAGAGACGCATAAAACAATAAGCTTATTTTTAATTGCTCTATCTTATTTTTATACAAGTGAACACATCGCTCAAAATCTTCGATTGACCCAAGGATTACAAGGATCCTAGAATGAGCACACAAAATGCTAACTGGGGATAGTTTGCAACCATTTCATCTGCAAGGGTAGAGTATACAAGTTTCCATACAAGTACAAGCCACATTTGCAAAAATTGCAAATTCTGCAGTAAAAGGAAAGTACTGGCAAGTTTAGGCATTATGGATATAATCATTACCTGGGAGCCATGCTGATCACACACCACCAATCTTGGAACAGGAAACCGCTCTTGAATTAGCGACTGTGCCTCATCATGTGGAGCTTGCAACAATTGCGCAAATGCCTGGGAAGAAAATGAAGCATTAGGAAATTGACATTTACTTCGTTAATAAAATTATAAACCCAAAAAAAACTGGAGTAGAACATATTAATGTATCCGCTGCAAGTCTCTTTCGCCTCCGGTCATCTCACAAAGAAAGCTGGTTTGCTAAAGAAAATAGAGGTGGCTGATGTGCACCGAACCTCTATGCAGATAAGTTCACATGCACTTTAGAGTTAAAAAAAAGTGTTATCATTCAATAGGAAAAGAAACCAGTAGAATCTCAAAGACTCGAACCAAGTACCTAATTACCTATCATGATAAGGTGATAATCTTACAGTGAAGTGTATATGATAAGTACAGACTACTGATGGAAGATTAATTGATGGGATTGAAGAGACCATAAAATAATTAAGGCACTATCAAGACTGTTATATCAAATTACCATTAACAGACTCCAAATTACATCTCCTTTCAAAAAGTTCTTAAGCTTATAACCTATCTTGTTGATTATCCTCTCCATTTGTAGTTCACTATTTATTACTCATATATAAATAATGTAAAGTAAGATCAAATAAAATGAAGGTCCCTTTTAGTATGAACAAGACACAAGATTGAATTACGAAATGAATTTTACATCTGAAACGTCTGAAAGGTTTCTTAAAGAGAATGAAGCTCCATAACATTCCACTTGTTGCCTTTTTTCATTTTCCTGTACACACAACCTCGATAGCTCTGCAGATGCAGAAAATACTACCCCAAGTACGTGTTACGCAAAATGAATCAGAACATTAGGCCTGTTTTGTAATGCTTTCTGTTTTCTGTTTTCGTATACGGTGTCTTCTCTGGAGGTCTCGGATTCCAGATCACAAACAGTTCCACTCAAGAGAGATAAAGACTAGTTCAACTAAGAGGGAAGGAGAAGGGAAGGTCCAGAGATGGAGTAACAAAGACACAAACTAGGACTCTAAGATAGAAAATTTCAGAATCCCTAACGAGTTGTTGGTCAAATAAGGTCAGATTCTATTGAGAAGAAAAGGGGTGGAGATGGCACATAAGGGCAGTAAACACTAAACACTAAACAAGAGGTTAACCCATGTTTTCCATGTAGAACGGAAAAGGGTTGTTTCCCAACTACGTTAACACATTAGATAATTTTTTCAACCAAATTGATATAGTTATCACAGTGATCTGATGGTTTAATGTGCACAGAGAACATAAAGACAAAGTAATAGCTGAGTACTTGGTGTTCTGGTTGTTTGTGATAGCCCATGTTTCTCCACTGAGCTATAGTCAATCCATGGAATATAACTAAACTGAAATAAGAATCCAAGAAAAGGATGCAATCAGCTGCAATTGATGCCACATCCAACAAAGCTGGAGAAGGTGGCGACTTAAATGAATATGATGTTAGCGTCGGTTGAATCATGACAGCTGCATTGCTTATGTTCTCTCGATTCAACAACATCCGAAAATAAGCAGTCTCATCAGGACTGTTATTAAAAACCTATAGCAGAGGTAAACGCTTATGAGCAGTGTAGCAGTATAGTCTTAAACTGTATCACACAGAAGTTCAATATACATGAAAAGGATTTAAAAGCAAGAGAGAATGGCTATGTCAAGTCAGATTACTTGCAAGAATTGAGATCTCCGCAGATTAAACATGAACTGAGGAAATATTGAGAATGATGGATTTAATGTGAAAGATGCAGGATCATCCTTGCGGTAGTCCCCAAATTTTGAACATAGTCGAATTAGATTCCGATCTAGCCACCTCGTTGCATCAAAGCCTTCCTGGAGGAACAAATAATACATCAGCCTTCAGTAGGAAGCTAAGTAGAAAGGGAAGGAAGCAACTTTGGATGGAAGAATATCAAAATATATATGACCAAATTAAACAGTTAGAAACTACAAATTATGTGTGTCTGACTGTTTGTACAAACTCGCATATTAAATTAGTCTAATACCAAAGTAATTGAAGTAGAACCCAATTGACAATGTAATGTGTCCAATATGTTGGATAAATACAATGATAATACCTCCATCTCCATTTTGTAAGAAGCTAATCTAGCCATCACGACAGCAGCAGTTTCTTGATCAAAGCCTTGTACTAATTCCTACAAAACAAGAGGCTAACTTCATCATAAGTCTATAATTTCCTCACTGCAAAATTCAGATAAGTAGATTTATGAGAAACTGGTTCATGGGTTGTCTGCATAAGTAGCATGGTTCAAACGTCAGAGGATATAAGAAAGAGGTTTTGTTGTGGGGCAGGGGGTCCTACTATCCTTGGGTGATTCAACACGCAGGATAAGATTATGAGTTCTTTTATTGCACATATGGTTAACGGTTATGCTTCAGATCAGCACCTCAGAGTTGACAGTCGTATCAACCCATCTTCTTTTTATGGTTGTAACTCGTGATATTGTATGTCCATCGGAGCTCTGATAACTGCATTTAATTCATGTCAAGACACATTAGTAGTAAATTCATGTCAAGATAGTAGAATAAAATCAAATCATTGAAAACTATAACACATTAACACCCAAGTCCAAAACTATTACAACAGAGAATAACTCTCTGCATGCATGCAGATACTAGTATTTACTTAATAGAGGCCTGAATCATTCAATTTCCTGATTGAAATAGTACCTTGTAAGAAATTGTATGTACAATTCTTGATTTGTATCGACAGAGAGGTCTGGTTTGTCACTTGATGAGACATCAAAGAATACGGTGAAGCATGTAGTTTTGTCAAGACCACACATCTTCCACGCTATTGTATTCCCCTCTCCAATAACTGTGTTGGCCACAGCAGGTCCTTTCTGTGAATATTTGAGATATTGGTATCAACCTTCCTGATGGTAATTATTTTCCTGATAAAAGAATAAATTAAATGGGGTTCATAAGCACTAGATAAACTTACCTTTTCTAAGCTTGTGCAGGGTCCAATGATCCCTTGAACTTTAATGTCCTTTGAGCAAATGATCTCAAGTCTTCCGCTGGATGAAATAGATGAATTAGAACTGCGAATGTGTCATCTTGTAGCAAAAGCAAATGAAAACTGACATCAATAAAAATTGTCACTAGTGTGCAACTGATGGGAAATATACTTACATATCATACAAATATATGCACACACGATCTTCAGTTATTTTCATTATGAACTTCTTGTTAGAGCATTTTTTGGTGTCCAATCATGTTAAATGTCTTTTTATATGTGTAGCTATTATATTTGTAATTTAGACCAGATCAACTTAATGTTAGGGGCCCAATGATTTATTAGCTACTTCTATTGTAACGGGCCTATCCCCTGGACCTATAAAGTCTGGAGGAAAGGCTCGAAAGTCGAAACCCTATGTATCCAGGTATACACACATTTCTAGAGTGAGAGAGATATAGCCGCATCTGTTATTCGAATACCATGTGCTGTCTTGTAAGATCATTCTCTGCTATTGAATATTCAGTTTATCTCTTCTCTACTACATTCTTATTTGTGATTGTTGGATTCAAAGTGACAAAGACTTCTTGACCATCTTTACATTAAGTTCAAAGTTTTTTTAAAAACTGATATCTGAGACCATCAACATATTCCACATTTCTGTTTTGTCATTGCCAAGGTGTGAACCTATTCCACATTTCTGTTTAGTCGAACTCTATACCTTAGCTTTATTCTATGGCTTGCCTAGTTCAACTCCAGCAAATGATTTGTTCCCTTTATATTCATAAGAAGTTTCTTTCTGAGTAAAATAAAAAATATTACATAGTATTTTAAACCTTTTGCAATAAAAGTTAGTGCCTATCAAACTACAGAAATTAAAGTTGGTTTTAGACTTTTAGGTAATAGATAAGTAACAACCAGAGAATGAAATAAGAAAGAAATAACAAAAAGTTAAGATACTTACTTGAAAGAAAGCCCAAGAGATAGTTCGCCATTTTCACAAACACGCTTGAATGAATCCTTGAATACAGAATGACCAAAGCTTTCTGCAAGAACAACCAGTCCTCCCGTTTTTTCAATTGCAACTTTCATCTCAGCAACCCCAACCTAAAATTCCACGGGTGACTTTTTTGATAGAAATATAAATAGTGCTTGTGCATGTGAATTTACAATTTGACATACAGACAACTTATACATGAGCTTATCGATGTGTCAGGCTGCTTTTTATATGCAAAATTGCATATGTGAGTGACTGTGTGCACATACACGGCCCACCAAACAACAGAGAAAATATGTTTTAGGAAAACTAAAATAAAACGAACTCCACGGATCTACTGAAAGGCACAAAGAAATTATAAAGAAATATCAGAAGATTGAAATTTTTCCGTCAATATTGCGTAGTAAAAATGACTTCAATTCATAAAATGATTTTTTAGTCAAAAAAAAAGTTTCACATGTCAGGAAGACAGGATCACAGTCAAGTGCACTAGCACAGCTTACCTGACTTTAAATTTGTCAAAAGGGTAAGAAAAGAGAGTGGACTGGTATGAAGAGGGATCAATGTTAGACCTATATAGGCACAAAAGTCAACAAAAACTGTGGGCTAAAAACAGTGGGGCCACTATTCTATGACTGAATTACAACTACTTCCTGACAATTTCTAAATAGAATCTAACATTTTCCATTTCCCCATCAAGTGTGACTATATAGATCAAATGCCTCGAGGTTTTTACATCATGGGGACTTAGTTGGGACATTAGCCACTTAGCCAGCAGGTCATTTGACCCACATGTAGTGATTATATCACTAAAAGAAACATTTTCCCCTACACAGTGACAATCAACTTTAATATGTTTGGTCTTTTCACGAAAATGAAGATACAGAGCAATGTCTAGTGCTGCTTGATTGTCACAAAGCATCTTTATAGGGCCCAGTTTGCAAAACGTCGACTCAATTAGGACACTTTTAACCAACACAGGTTACATGATCCAGGTGTCATCATTTGACCCACATCACCACATGTACCCATGTAGTGATTATATCATTAGAAGAAACATTTTCACCTACACATGACAATCAACTTTAATATGTTTGGTCCTCTCACGAAAGCGAAGATACAGAGCAATGTCTAGTGCTGCTTGATTGTCAAGAACCATCTTTATAGGGCCCAGTTCGCAAACTTTCAACTCAATTAGAACACTTTTAACCAACACAAGTTACATGATCCAGGTGTCATCGCTTGGTATTCTGCTCCTGCGATTGACAATGCGACATCTTCCTTTTTTTCTGTTACAATACATGAGTTTACCACAAAAAGGACGCAGTACTGAAATGCTGATCTTCGATATGCTCGTATAGTCAGCATCAGTATATCCAACAATCTTTGTGTGTCCATGATCATTATAAAGCAAGCATGTACACAGACATCTTTCTGTGTATCTTATTATGTGGATGGGTGTGTCCTAGTGGATTTCACATGTGGCTTTACACAATTGACTGCAAATGAGACATCAACAGTGGTGACAAAGCCGATAAGTGATGGAAGCATGGTAGAGACTTGAGACTAGAAAGAAGAGAGACTCTTTCAAGAGAAAATCAAAGAATGAATAACGTTCATGAGTGACTCTGACTGTTTCCCTAATCAGCTTGCAAGTAGAGTAAGTAGCTACTTGAAGCGAGAAAGCACGAGTCAGCAGCAAAGGCAATGAATCGATGATCTTCATTTTCTCTCCTTCATGATTAGGTGACTTTCGCTGGAAGTGTAAAAAATGGTAATGTGCATTGATAAAAATGGTAATGTGCATTGACTTTTTCTGTTTCAGAGTCTCTGGAAGGTACTGATCTTGAGTTTTCAGGGGATAATGGCTTAGATTAGGTAATACAAAGAAGAGTTTGTGTAGGCGTGCAAGGCTTAAGCTTTCGGAGGCTAAAGGGAAAACATACAGGAGGTTTAAGACCTGGTGACAGAAACGAGGCCTATGCCTTGATGACGCTGAGGCATGGATCCTACAGACGTGAAGGCTATCAAGGCTTAAGAATTCATTTTATAGAGGAGGAACTCTGGAATCGGACCATTTTTAGAGTGGCTTTTTTTAGTGTTGGGCTTCAGCGAGCCCTAGTTTGACTCCTCCACTCTTTCGTATATTGCTAAACAGTAAACACACGGCCCTAGTTTTCTTTCTCCAGTCTCCCTACCTTATTCCCTTCCATAAACAAACCTATGCATTGATCCTGAATTCAGCATTTACCAGTACCTGAGCAGCCCTCGGTTGACCATGAGAAGCCTTAGGTAAGTAATGATACAATGAACGTGGTATTCCCTCCGTCCCGATTTATGTGTCTTGACACAATAATTAATAAAGTGGTTCAAAAGTAAAAGTTGTGGTTGAGGACTAGACTCACTAGAGATTGGAGTAGAATAAAGTGAAATGATATGAACCACATATATCGGGCCAAAAAAGTAAATAAGACATTTATTTTAGGACAGCCCAAAAGGAAAACAAGACACGTAATTCGGGGCACAAGGAGTATTAACTTTGAAAAATTAATAGTTTAAAATTTAGTCTTAAGTCTTACATGATCTAAGTTTTTGTTAAGGGTTGGCCGTTGGCATGCATATTTCATCATGTTATTTCATATTAGCTTAGAGTATGTTTGAGAAAATTTATTATATACTCCCTCCATATCACAATGATCGTCCCACATTCCTTTTTTGGCCGTATCAAAACGATTGTCTCAGTTCTATTTTTAGCAAATAAATCCACTCAAAAAGCAGTTACAGTACTGCTACTGCTACGGTATAAAAAAAACTCATACTTTTTCAAAAGGTGTACCGTAAACCTACACGTTTTCTTAAACTACTACAAAACCCTACTGGGATGATCATAGTGATACGGAGGGAGTATATGCTTAAATCATAAGTGCTTTGAGCACTTAAAGCGCTCTTCTGAAAAACCATCAATATGTTGTTTCCTAAATAAGCATAAAAAGTGTGAAGTTTTCACTAAGCAAAGATGGTTGGAACTGACCAAGTCAATTGAAGAATAACATTACTGTTGATAGAAGTATAGAACAAAGAAGTATATAGTTCTTGAGAAAACACATACTAGTATGTTGTATTTGTGTCTTGATGCTTACATCTCTTGATATTTGAACAGTGTTTACTTTTATATGATAGCTGTTTACTGTTTAGTATTTAGTTTTGTTTTTAAGTTGGTACTAAACTTAGATATACCCAATGCTTTATATGTATCGGTCGTGAATTCAATGGTCTTAGATTCAATGGTGTTTATGTCTTAAAGATTATGTTATTGTCATAATAGTTTCATATAGTTATAAGTTCTGAGGGTTTTTTAAAATTAACGAAAATAAAACAGGCCTATCTGAAAATCCTATGAACAAATGTTTCAGGGTTATGGCCTAAATTTTTCTAGCCCAAGAAAAACCACAAGTCTATCCTGAAAACCCCACTGGACCGGAACCAAAGGACCTAGTCCAATTGACATCACTACTCCGAAAGTTCTGTACTAGAATTAGTCATCCTTTATTTGTCCATGTACAGGAACACTACCAAGCAACTCCTGATGTCATATACTCAGAAATATATCTCTAACCCCAGATAATAATAATAATAATAATAATAGTAACGGTAATCGTTTTATTAAAAATACATGGTTAGGACTTATTAATAACCCGTTTGGTTGCCCCTATTTTCAATTTATCGGCCTTATTTTACCAAATGCGTAATTTCTTATTTCGTGCACTGAGTTTTATAATAATCAAAATAAGTAAGGTTGGAGTTATTTTTCTAGCTGAAGTTACTCTAAAAGACCATTCTGGCTATTTTCATATGTTTTTTCTTTATTTAATTAAAAATATATATTTTAAATAAAAAAATCCACAACTTAACGGATTCAACCAATCAACCACTTCAACTAGAATTTCATCAATTTCAGGAAATTCAGCCAATTCCAGTGTTACCAAACAGGCTCGTAGTCCTAATAAAAGAATAAAACAATAAAACTTCCCCTTTTACGAGTAAACTAATCCTACTTTAGGAAGAAACAATGATAGTCCTGTTTGATGAACTTTTTATCTTTTGCTCCTATTTAAGGAATTTTCTCAATGAAATATTACTAAAATGGAATTGTAATTAACCTCACTCAAGCCTTGTAATCCAATAAATCCCTTATAATTTGGGATAGAGGGAGTATAAATAGACAGCAGCACCAATTTATACTTTGTATAATTTGGTAAAAAAAAATGGCAAGGCAAAAACAACATTTACTCTAAACATAAAGCTAGATCTTCTCTCATGGTCCTAGGTGGAAACACAACTTATAGCACAAAGCATAAGGATAGCTAGACTTGTAACTATATTATTTATTAAGTGTAATGCATGTTTTTTTAATGTTCTTACTTCTTAGTGTGTGTTGTATCCATCACAATTTGTGTTTGACCAATATCAAATGTAACCAAATAAAATTGGGAAGGACTTTAAGGGAGTGTTGATGGAATTGGAACTTATAAGTCATCATGCCTAAAGAATTTACAGCATAAAATCACTTCTAATAACACAATGCCTCTAAGTAATATGAAGGTTACTTTAGTCTGAGATAATTGAGTAAAAGAAGGAAAGAAACCTAAAGCAAATAGAATAAAAGAACATAAACTGATAAAAGTAATAAAAGATAGTACAAGTCAAAACCGGAAGAAGAAAACGTATTGCGGTATAAAACTTAGATCTTAATGTCATAGAAATAATCTGCTTTAACGCCGCTGAGATAATGGTATAGCGTTCTTTGATAACTCACATTCCAAAAAGATGCTCCACGTTTCTGGAAAATATTACGAATACAAATACTAAACCTGGTAAAAGGGTCAGTTGAGGAAAACCTGATCAAGTGCTGATGCAAAAATGTCCAATACATGACCCTGACTGACTAGCTGCTTTCCAAGTTCACTGTAGAAATGCACTGCCTTTTTGAAAAAAGGTGCAGCATCCTTATCTAGATCCTTGTGAGACCGAACTGGATCTGATAAATCTTTTGATACAATCTATAAAAAAGGAAAATAAATGAGAAAGTTATAGGAAAATGGAAATAGTCAAAGAGAGATTAGAATCTGGAAGACCAAGTAAACAAATTCAAAGGCTCACCGCTCCAGGCCCTTCTGTGCATGGACCTCCAACTAATGCTACAATTCGGGCACCTGCACCAGCCATACATGCACTGAGCAAACCTGAAGCCACACTCAAAGCTGCTCCAGTGCAACGTAAGGGCCGATTTCCAGGGGGGACCAGCCACTGATCCGTATCCAACTCATCTAACAACTACAGAAAAATCAGTGAAAATCCAACATTAAAAGAATTGCAAGGCATAAACATCTTGCGCGGAGTGTGAAGATCTCAATTGATCATACCGAGTTCAGAGTGTATTCACATTCTGATGCGGGGAGCAAGAATCTTGTTATTCCCGGATAGGGGACCCCAACTGGCCCGCCACCAGCAGCTCGCCTCCCACCACCGCTACCAAGCCCCAATTGCTCCAAAACCTTATCTTTTGAGAGTTCCTTAGACCCCCGGAATACGTAAACCTTGGACATATCCGAGAAGCCAAGTTCATGAACCTGCACCTGCGTCCCGAATGATATAAAGCCAACCATGGCATTGTCTGGGAGCAACCCAATCGCACGTTTTAATGCGGATTTTGCGAAACCTAACTCCTCTTCTAGCATACAGGTATCCAGCACGAACAGGAAAACAGAATGCGAGCCCGTAGGCGAAAGGGGGTTGGGGGGTTGGGGAAGAATGTACTGAATGGTGCTGAATTGAGGGTAGAGCTCGGCAGGGGTGTTGGTCTCAGAAATGGTTGAGTAGCTATGAGGGAAGTTGTTGTGCTGGAAGCAGAACGGACAGATCCATTTGGGGGACCGGAAGTCTACCTGGGCGTAGGGGTTGAGCACGGCGGTGCATGTTTTACATCTGAGCGGCCCGTACGGGAGCGTGAGGAGGTCCGGGTTGGGTCGGATCAGGTGGATGGACGCCGCAATTGGGATCACGCACTTGCTAGCCTCCACCTTCGTGCGCGGCCAGGCATTCCACGTCATGCGGACTCCGTCCATGCCCTCCAAGTCCGTCTGGGCAATCTCCGGCGAAGCCATCTACGATGATCGACAAAGATATACCGGAAGCTTCCTTTCCTTCGAATGTTGGACCAAATTGGAGTGAATAGAAGCGACCAAATGGAAATTGCGCGGGTAGGAGTCAGACGCCGGGAGAATTGAAGCAGAAAATGAGTCTTAAGACAAAGGTAGGGGTTCCTGAATCAAGGCTGAATGGTGTGTGCCCACAGACCAATGGAGCTGGTTAACGTTATGTAACAGTGTAATACACAGACATTGTTTCCACTGTTTGCTGCTCCAACCTTACTTAGGGAGTGTTTGCAACTGCTTCTGCTTAAAAAAAAGCACTTTTGGAGAAGTAATGAAAAAGTGATTGGTAGTAAAAGTTGATAGTGTTTGAGAAAAAAGTGATTTTGAAAAGTAAAAGTTGGTAGTGTTTGGTAAAATAAGTGCTTTTTGTGTAATAGAAAAGGGAAAAGCACTTTTCACACGCAAGCCGAGAAAAAGTAAAAATTGGTAGTGTTTGGTAAATAAGTGCTTTTTAAAGCCAAAAGCTGAGAAGTGCTTTTTTTTAAGCAGTTGCAAACACTCCCTTAGAACTGTACACTTTCCTTTTTTTTTTCCTTTTTGAAATGTATTTAAAAATTTCCCTCACTTCTATTTTTGATAAATTAACCTTTATAAAATACTCAATTATCAATACTTTATTTACCTTTTATCTTTACTTTCATACTTTTAAACACTATTTCCTACTTTTTCTACATTATTCACTACTACTACTACTTTACTCCGTAAATAATGTGAACATTAAAATACGGACTATATGACATCAATATTACTCCTAAAGAAATTAGAAACAATGGTAAATCTAGTACTACAGACTTCTACGTTGACAAAAATGGAACTAGTTTTAAGTTTGGACAAAATTAGGACTAAACATAACTAAATGGACTAAAACACCCCTAATTAAAAAAGGAGAACAAATCTGAAATCCATGCTTGATTGATCGATCCCTGCGGGCTGCGACATAGATAGCATTACCTCGATCCATCCTTGTGACTCCTCCATGTTGTCACCACCGTCTTCGTCCCATTACGCCCCCGCCGCCGTTGTCCCAGGTAAGCTTCTCTTATGGCTGAACGATTGAGAATCAATGGCGACGGTCGCGGCGATGGAGTCTCTGACAACTAGGGTTTCAAATCGAGCATGGTGACGGCGACGGTCGCGGCGATGACATCTCCGATAGCTACGATATCAAATCAAGCGTGGCAACGGCGGATCGGCTACGATTTTAAAGCAGTGGAGTGGCAGATAGGGTTTTTTTGGGGTGGGCGGGGTGTGCTGGGGTTGGGGCTATGGTCGTGCGAGGGTTGGGGATTGAGGAGGGGCTTGCCGGGGCGACGCCAATCAGCACTGGGGAGGGGCAGCGGTGTGCGGTGGTTGGGCGGGATAAGGTGGTTGCAGTCTTGCAGGGGTTGGGGCGGATTTGTGACAATGTTTGTGTAAGGGAATGGGGGCTGGGAAGAGGATTATCGTGGTGGCGGCCTTGCCGGAGGGCGTATGGTGGCGGGGGCGTATGGTGGCGGCAGGCGATGTTACCTGGCGGTAAAATTTGGACCGGGTAATTGTAACTGAGCGTACTGGTTAACTATAATGTCAGGCTGCGTAACGGTAACTGATCAGATTGTGTAACTGTAACTGACGGGTCAAATTGATCAGGTCGCATAATTGTAACTGCCGAGTCGGGTAACTGTAAATGATGAGTCGGGTAACTGTAACTGGTCGGATAATTGTAATTGGTGGAGGGTAACTGAAACTGTACTAATCGGGTCAGGTAATTTTAACTGAACGGGTCGGGTAACTGCAAATGTTGAGTCGGGTAACTGTAACTGGTCGGGTAATTGTAACTGGCGGCGGGTAACTGTAACTAATCGGATTGGGTAACTGTAACTAACAATTCGGATAATTATGGTCGGGTCAGATAACTGTAATTTAATACTGGTATAAAAATCATATTTTTTAACGTTGGAGACGGCTGTAGCATTTTGATGAAGCTAGAAGTGGTTGGCTATTTGATTTACGTGCGAAACATTCATTAGTTGTAGAGGTATATTTGATATATATTTTTTGTCTCTTTTTTGGATTTAACTAAAAGGGGTCGTAGATTTGTCCAACTACTTTTAATTAGTAATATCTATGCCTTAACCCCAAGAAATTATCCTAGATACATTTGTTTTAATATAATGTTGTTTGTTTTTGAAAAAGTGGAGACTACTTAGCTTAAATAATTTAAGAACTCTAATATTATTAAATATTCCCCCGTCCCTATTTATTTAGCCAAACACCTTTTTCAAGTCAAAGTTGTTCAACTTTGACCGATTATATATTTATACACGGTAACGAAAAACCGTTCTATCCTGAGAGACAATTGTTGCGGGTAAATTTGTCTTAAGGAGACAACAAGCCTTTGTTGGGCTCGATTCAATCTTCTTCAATTTCGTACGCTTCTCATTCTTATTAATTATTTATTTTTGTAGATTTTCGATATACGCACACAACACTAATTTGGTAGAGTTATTTAATTAAATGCTAGAACTTATGTGAACCTATTAGGAATCATATAAATGTGATTAAATAGGTTTGATACGGATACAAGCCACAGTACACCGACCGTGCCTGAACGGGAGTTGCAAAGACAATATGTGCTTAAAAGAAACCTATGGGCTTGATAATATTATTCGTGACTAGATATAGGTTGATATAGAATTATAGAAAATTATCTACCTAGTGTAGTGTTTGCGCTTAGTGCGGGACCGTGACCAAACACGACTTTTATAGCGTGACTGGGGTGGCACAGACTCGTGGTGTGATCACACAAAGGGTGTATACCGAACCAGAGAACCTTACGAGACTCTGGCGGTGGTAGCACATAGGTCCCTGAGTGGCCTTACCTTCCGACGGGATTTTGGTATTGGCGAACAGGGACGAGTGGTATGAAAACCCCAGGATTTGGGTGACAACGCTTGTATAGGATTAGATGGCCTATAGAGGCTGAATTAAACAAATAATTGACCTCCCCGTTGTATAAATCATATTTGACCTTCGGGTTGTATAAATCATATTTGACTTTCGGGTGGTATAATCATATTTGACCTTCGCATTGTATAAATCATTTTGGGCCTATAGGCTAAATAAATCATTTTAGGCCAACAGGCTAAACAAATTAAATTGGACTTTAGGGGTTGTCATCAAACCTTCAAATTTGATATATTAAACATGCTTTACATGTTGTTTTTTCATAAAAAAAGGTTTTTTGAAAAAAAAAAAAGTATGGTCTACGGGCTGACTATTTTCGTATACATAGAATATATAAATTCTATATTATATGTATCACCATATTTTAAGGGACTTATGTATAAATGCTTGTTATATATCTTATAGTGTCCCATTCCCTCATCAGTACCAGTTGTATTGACCCCTCCGGGGGCTCTCACTAACATTTTCAGGTTGGAGGTTGCGCTTGCTGCCTGCTCTCTTGCAAAGAGTGTGCGCGGGTGAAGAGTTGATTCGTCCTACCCCATTTTGTTTTAAACTTCACCTAGAAATGCTCACGAATAAATAATATTTTTATTTTACGCTTGAATTGGGTCTGCTTGCCTACATTATGCCCTGCGTGGCTAATCACTATTTTAATTATTAATTTCCACTGCATAATGATGAAATATTTTTAGTTTATTTTATTGTTATTGGATACTAGTGTGTATGATATACATGACACCTTGTATATTTCAATAAGGGTAGACTGTGATTGCCCTTAACGGGTTACACGACGGTAATCGACGTCGCTGGCAGGTCTGGGGCGTGACAGAGACCTTCTCAACAAACTTATGATAGAATCCCGCTAGCCTAAGGAAACTTCGTATCTCTTTCACATTCTTGGGTCGCTCACAATCTATGATAGCTAGTTGCAACATTTGCATTGTCCACCACAATGCTCGAGACTGATATCACATGCTAGAGAAACCCAATTTCTTTAAGCCAAAATTCACATTTGGAGAATTTGACAATGAGTTGTTTCTCTTTTAGTCTTTCAGGCACAAGTCTCAAATGGTGTTTATGTTCCTCCTCGCCTTTAGATTATATCAAAATGACTTCGATGAATACAATCACAAATTGATCTAAGTACTCAATAACCACCAAGTTCATCAAGTCCATGAATGTCGCGGGTGCATTGGTTAAACCAAATGACATAACAAGAAACTCGTAGTGACCATATCCAGTGAGAAACGCACTCTTTGGTATGTCACTCTCTTTGATTTTCAATTGCTAATAGCCCGACCTCTAGTCAATCATTGAAAACATCATAGCCCCCCAAATTTGATCAAACAAGACATCAATCCTTGGTAAAGGACACTTATTTTATATTGTGACCTTGTTCAACTATCGGTAATCAATACACATTCTTAGTGTATCGTCTTTCTTCTTCACAAAGAGTACTGGTTCTCCCTAGGGAGAATGGTTTGGTCTAATAAACCCATTATCCAACAGCTCTTGCAGTTGGACCTTCAACACCCCTGAAGTTCCGCAGGTGCCATTCGATAAATAGGAATCGAAATGGGTTTGGTCGCCGGTTCCACTTCGATTACAAATTTAATCTCTCTGTCGGGTGGAAGTCCCGACAAGTCTTTAAGAAAAACATTCGAACACTTACACATGACACATACATCGTTGATATCTTTCTCCTTCTTAGTCTCGTCCACCACATACGCTAGGTATGTGTGGCATCTTTTCCTCATCATCTTCTGTGCCCTCACATTGGGTATGATACAACTATGAGATCTTCCCAAATCTCCCTCGAGACGTAGAGCATTTTCCTCATCACACTTGAGTTCCAAAACTCTCGTGTAGCAATCTACTTGAGCATGATGTTTCTTAAGCCAATCCATCCTTAGGATCGCATCAAACTCCATCATATTTAGAGGTACGAAGTCGCAAGTCAAAGGTTGGCCCGTCACTTCTACCTCACGAGAAGGATAATAATAGTTTCTCTCCACGTCATCGCCTAATGGTGTGGAGACCAAAATAGTTTGCGTCGTACGTTAGCGTCAATGGTACGTCTAAACCCTCGATGAACACTTCACTCACAAATAAACGTTGTACTCCGGTATCGATGAGGTTTCTCTCTTTCCACCCATTGATCCTTAATGCTTCTACATTTATAAGCCATATAAGACAC